ATTCACATTTCCAGCTACTGATTACACCTCCTTAAAGATCTAACAGAATCTCACCTTCAGAAGCTTAAAAGAGGCCTCAATACTTTGTCCACTTGACTACACTTTCTCCCTCATCCCCACCTGGGTTAACAGTATCATCACACCCCTAGCTGCCAAATCTTGGTGACCTTTGAGACTTTCCTTTCTTTCTCTCACCCCCATACCCAGTCAGTTTAGCACTCTGCATCCAATCTTCCAGATTTGATAAAAGCTGTCTAAGTTCACAAAGCCCTAATAACTCTACTTCAGAAAATGTCCCTAGTTTTTAGCCCTCCTTTCCAATTCCCACAACAATAACTCCAGACCATGCCATAACACACATAAAACCTAGGGGAGCAAAATAATCTCCCATTCCCACTTCAGTCTATCCAGGTCAAGAACATTTGTCCTAAAACAGATCTATTCTTGTGAGTTAGTCTGTTGCTCACTAGAAACTCTTCCTCCTAGAGCTGATTGTGAGGGTTACCTGAGCATATGCATGATGCTTGGAACTGAACGTTATATACAATAATACCCTATTATAATTTTCGAACCTCACTTACAGCTACCCATGATCTATTCTCAGTCCAATTTATTGTCCTATTTCATCACATTCTTAAAATTCTGTATGCCATTGGCACTACATACTCAGGATTCTCTTCACATTCTCACCGTGTTGTTCCTGTCCTAGGAATGCCCTAGGACTCAACTTTCTGCTAATCAACACTGCCCATTTGTGAAAACTTGCCTCCAACTACTTTCTTTCTGGAACCTTCCCAGTCTTACCCTACTCCCTTTTCCATGCCCCTGTTAAATGTTATCTAACCTTTCTTAAGAGCAGTTTTTACAATGCAGTTCACCAAATATTTCCGGTTCTTCCCCTAGACTCCTGATGACACTATGCCTCTTCACGCCCCTGTAGTTGCATATGGTTGCCGGACTTGCTTAGGCCATGAAATGCAAGTGGCAACTCTAAGAGCCTGTGCTTGATTCTGCACTCTCCTAACTGGGGGTGTCCTGGATGTAGGGAAATGCTTTGTATCTTAATCATTTTACCTTCTAACGTACCTAATGCAGTACTCAGCAGTATGCTTAATGAATGTGTAACAAGATGATTTAACTTTTGAACAGCTATGTGAAACTTTTAACTGAAATATTTTTTGTTAAATTTTTCAGAGATGTTAGTATCTAAGTATTTCATGTTCTGCTTTCTAGCCCTTCAGTTTCTGAAAAGCAATTAATGATCTAAATTGTAATAAGCATACCAAGTAGCATTCGACATTTAAAGGAACTCTATGTTCCATTTGTAAATAAACTAATCATGTCTCAGTTCAATAATATCAGGTTTTGTTAAAATTGAGATGCCTGAACTGTTATTGTATTTTTCTTGGCCTTTTTTATCTGGTTTATTTGGTTTTCCTCCTTGTTTTGGCTTTTATTCTTTAATTTGCTTTTGTAAAAAGTAATCATCACTTGAAAAAAATCAGAATACCTCAAACCTTTTGGAAGAGAGCTATTAGGATACTCCCATAAATTAACTAACACTAACAAGGCTAAGGTTTAGATTATAATAACAACTTTCATCTTCTGCTTCTAACAGCTAAAGATGGCTAGCTTGATTTAAAATTTTTTTTACCTCTGTAGATCCATGTTCTTCAGTAGCAAAGGGGAAAAGACTTTCATAGAGTTTTGTGAATGCATCCAATCCAGTCTCTACGATCTCTGCTTCTATACTGGGATCCAAAGGTTCAGTCTCTGTGAAGTCCATTTCCCATACTGTGCCTACCCATTCTAGTGGGAAAATGCAAATAAATCAACAAATGTTCTGTAACAAGTAAAATGCCAATAATTTTTAGACTTGAGGTACATTCAAGAAGAGAAAAGTTTATTAGTCACAAGGCACATTTAACTATACAATACAGAGATGTAGCATAATTTAAAGAAAGCAGAAAAGTTTAAGAAATCTTTTTTTTTATTCTAATTGACAGCTTTTAGATTGGTCATCTAAAAGTATCAGGAAGGAAAACACTTTTTAGATACAACAGTTTTAGGGAATGACATTTCAAAACCCTTAAAGATCAGGTTTTCCCATAGGTTCAACCTGGAGAAGAGAGGTTGATAAAAGACTGCCTCTCATGCTGCTTTGCGAAAAGCTTACAACCTAGTTAATAAATCCAAGTAAAGCATACAGCACACAGGGATGGCTGATGTGACTGACTGTTTAACATGCTTCATTATTCATTCACTTTCCTAAAAATGTTTTTGTATCTTTCCTGCCTCTTTTTCTGTCATAACACTCTCCCATTTATTTTCTATGCATATTTTTAAATGCACATCAGTATTCTGATCTCATTTCTGAATCAAAACTAACAGAAGAGAAAAGACCTGATCTCAGGAAATCAATAAATTCAATAAATGATAGCTATTATTGTAATCTGTACAATGGATGAGTGTCAAAACAGTTAATAGATGTGTAAAACACTAGAGAGCAATACAAAATATTACTGGAGGAAAGGTAGGAACATCGGTGAGCAGGATGATTCTGCTTCAGTTGGACCTAAATGTGGGAGGAGAGAAATGGTGAAAAGCATGTCCCAGACAGACAGAACTGCATAACAAAGCACAAAGGGAAAGTATAACCTGTTCACAAATGAACAAAATAGTTACAGCACTCAGTTTGAATGTGAAAGGCCAGTTATTTGTAGTATTTATTCAGCGGTTCCTGTGTACCTGGTACTAAACTAATCTTCACAAAACACCGGTGAGGTAGGCACTATAATCCCCGTCTGACATATAAGGAAACTAAGGTTTAGCAAAGCTAAGCCAGTTGCCCAGTGATACACAGACTGCTAATCCACAGAGCCAACAGACAAATCCCAGTATCTCTGACCTCAAAAGTTATGCCCTTGGAAAAGAAGACTGCAGTGAATGGTGAAGGCTCTTAGATGACATGCCAAAAGATTTGATCATTTATTTAGGAAACAAAGGGAAGACATTAAAAGTTTAAAACTTGACAAGGTCAGGCGTATGATCCTGGTGGAGGTGTGGGGGATGGCGGGAAGCGTGAGCATGGGAGAGCAGCTAAAATATTCTCCCAGTCGCCTAGATGGACTCCAAAGAAGGCGTGAGCTGGGGCAGCGGCGTCGGGAACCACGCGGGACCTGAGGGCCACCAATGAGGGCGGTGAGAAGCCATGACCGCCCGGCTGGCTTCCATTCGGGTGGCGTCTGAGGGGCCCGTGAGACAACTAGTTTAAACAATGAGCATGACGTTCAAGAAATCAAGTCTGGCGGAAAAGAGAGATTTGCTATTTAAAATGGCAGGGACAGATAAGGTTGTCCGTGAAGGCTTGCTGAATCAGGAGGCAAGGCCGAGAAAACAGAATCAAAAGAACTAAAACAGATCGTGTAAGAATATAGTCATTTATCCTCCATTTGCCCCATGGTCCCAAGCACATAAGCCGGTGAGAATTATGCCTAAACTTGCTGGGCTTACCCCGCCTTATCTCTAAACATCCCGACCCTCCCCCAAGACAACAGGCCGAGCGGATCCGCCACAATAAAAGGCACCACGCTGCTGCCCTCGCTCTCTCTGTCTCTCTCTTCCCACCCCCCTCCGGTGCAGCCACTCCCTCCTTCAGATAATAAAGTCTCTTGCGTGGGCCCGTGTCTCCTGAGTCGTTCTGGGTAAGGAGGGTCGCGGCGAGATACCCTTTCAGATCGGACCACATGAGCCCCTTCCCCGACGTGACTTCACTAAACTGAGCCTACTCTAGACCGGCTAGCCGATGGCCGCAGTGCACAGCCGGGACACTCGGGGAAGCGGGGAGCCGAGCGCCCCACCCCCACCCCGCCAAGGCCGCGCGGAGGGCCGCAGCCCTGCCTTCCAGACTCATGGCCTCGCCTCCTCACCCGGGCTGAGATCCAACGGGCACCAGGGTTGCAGGCCGCTCGCGAGCGCCGGTAGCGCCACCATGACCGCGGGGACACCGGCTCGCTCTTCGGTGGTCAACTTTCAAAGCTCGCTCCCGCGCGCGCTCTGAGACGTTCCTATGGTCCAATCACAACCTTGGGATTTTCCACCGACCATTCCTCGTGCCCAGCCGTGTTCACTCTTTAACCAATCAGCAAGATGTCCCGCCGCATGCGCAAAGGATGGGGCGGGACCAGAACTGTGGACTGAGCAAAGGTGTGGTTGTGTTTATTTAGCTTCCCCTTTAAGGTAGATATCAAAGAGCTAAGGCAAAGCGCAATAACATCTTTCTCGCTTATTCTTCCTTAAATGAGAGGACACTTTAAAGAGAACTCGAGACAGGATACTTCCTGTAATAATTGTTACCTTTGCCCCCTGTCAAACGACATTTCCCGTGTGTCAAAAGGCTGTCTTTACCTCGTCAGAGAGCAATCCGAACGTCGTACATATCCGGACTTGGATGGTAGCTAACGTTTATCGAACTGTAAAGCAATAAAAGAAGAGCGGTGGAGAAAAACATTCTGAAAGGACATCTGCAGTTTTACTGTAGGGTACGTCTGGTGCCGGATTCGGGAACCAGGCCGCGGCCGCCATACCAACTAAGGGAAAGACCGGCCTTCCTTCTAGCACATGCGCAGGGAGTTCACCTCCGACGGCGAAAGCGCCGGGCCCGAGGCGTGCGCATGCGCGCGGTGTGTCCAGCGCGTCCGAGACCTGAGCACCTGGGTTTGTTGGCCACCGAGGCTGGGCGGGTCGCTGTGCCGCTCCGCGCACGCTGCTCCACCCGCGCCCACCGTGGGCGTCCTCGCCCCCGGCCCTCACTGCCCTGCTGCGATTGCGTGGAGGTCTCGCTTTGCCTGCCGCGGCCGCGGCCGCGGGCACTGGGGCCGCGCGGTGTCGGTCCTCGGGCACTGCAGCCCGCCTTGCCGCGGTCAGAGGGCTTGGCCGTCGCCCCGAGGGCGCGGAGCCGGGGCGCGCGCTAGCCTGGCCTTCCCTGAGGGCCGCTTCCCCGAGGGCCCAGCCGCGAGCGCAGCAGCGGCCGGCTCGGTGCCGACATGAGCTTCTTCGGGTTCGGGCAGAGCGTGGAGGTAGAGATCCTGCTGAACGATGCGGAGAGTAGGAAGCGGGCCGAGCACAAGACCGAGGACGGGAAGAAAGAGAAGTATTTCCTCTTCTACGACGGAGAGACGGTCTCCGGGAAGGTGAGCCTCGCGCTCAAGAACCCTAACAAGCGGCTGGAGCACCAGGGAATCAAGATCGAGTTCATCGGACAGATCGGTGAGTGAGCCTGGAGTCGGGTGGGCCCGGGGCGGGGGTCGTCTGGGGCGGGCGGTCGCTCGGGGCCGCGCTCGGGAGGCTTGTCGGAGCCTGCCGCTGCAGTCCTCCCTGCCAAAGTGACAGCGCGCCGCTCGGGCCACACGGAGCGGCCCTGCACGCCTTGTCGTTGTGGGCCCCTTGCCCTGGGACACCCCAGCCGTTCCTTCACCATGCCGCTCAGCTTTGCCTTCTGCCTCCAGGACTGCGGGGTGAGCTGCTCTTGCAGTAACCCGCAGGTGGGTCTGTTAGCAGGAGACGGTTCTTCCAGAACTGCTTTGCTACGGTCGGACAGCTGTCAGACCCAAGTTAAGTCTATCCTCTGTGCCTCACTGTTGAAGTCCCATTTTCCTCCTTTTTCTTTCCGTTGTGGTGTGGGAGAGCTGACTCACCAATTTCTCCTAGCTCACCTGAACTCTGAGCTGTCTATCCTTATACTTGGGTTGAAAAAGAAACCCTGCAGTCTTCAGCCTCGGTCTTTCTGTCTACCTAGCCTGTTCTAAAAGTAATTTATTAGAATACTAGTTTTCAGTTGACTTGATTTTTTTCTTAAGACAAAAAGGTTATGCTTCTAAGACCAGAATTTCTCAGTGCTCCAACACTCTTCAATCATGATTATTAATAGTTAAAACTAGACGCTAGACTGTCGCAACAATACAGATGATTTTGGTCCCTGCCAGTCAAAATGGGGTTGTCGCCAATTCTACAATTTGGAGTCATGTGTCTATAAAAATTTGAGCTTCTGAAATAAATTGTTTTGTCATGAGGTCAGGAGTACATTCACAGTAAATACCCATATGGGCTTCCAGAATTTCTGGCAGAGAATTCATACCCTATACCACACAGTGCATGGGTATCCTATTTTAGGAACTTCCTGGGAAAGCTTGTTAAATACTCTCTCTCCAATTCTGAATCACTGGCACAGGTAGGAGGAACCCTGAGTCTATATGTCCTGTCTTTGCAGTCCAGTGTTCAGCTGGAAGTATCTGCCTCTAGTACTTAAGAAAATGAAATGAGAAAGACTGATCCTACAAAAACCTTTTTGTTGTTATTTTAAATGCAGGATATGAGTGACCTTTTATGTACTGGAAAGGGGCCTGAAAAGTGCATTTCATACCTTCTTCTGCTCTTCCACTTCTAGCTTCGATAAGGTTTCTCCACAGTGCTCTTGACATTTGGGGCCTGGTAGTTCTTTGCTATTGTAGATGTTTGGCAGTGCCGCTGGCCTCTGCCCAACAGATACCAGAAGCACCCCTGAGTTGTGACCACAAAGATGTCTTGAAATGCCCTATGTCCCAGGAGGGTAAAATCACCCCTAATAAAGAGCCACTGGGTAGAAAGGGTGAATCCAAAGCATTTTATGTTGAGCATAATGTATGAGATAGTCAGAAGTCCTTGCCTACTTATAGTTAGTATTTTCAAGTAGTAATTTTAAAGTTATTGCATGGAGTCTTTGGCTCTGCAGTATGAGTGTAAACAGGCACGTTTGTCTGTATCTGTCCCATCACTCTCGGTGGTGATACCTCATGAATATGTGAAAGTGAACCAGAATGTCTCCTGCCCCAGCAGTATGAAATGAGCTATTCACTGGGAATGGTGTCAAGGCCTCCTCTAGTCTAAGAGGAAGGGAGTTGAGGAGGCTGCCTGCTGCACCTGCCCTGCCTAGTTTTTTCTTGTCTAACTTATTGAATCCCAGGACAATTGAGTTATCTAGGGAACTTTTATTGCTTCCAGTGATAACTGCCTGGGCCCCTGAGCACCCTGGGCTGAATTGACCCTGTGACTTTGGGGAAGCTCTGCCCGTCTCTGGGCCTCAGCTGTCTCACCTGTAAGGCAAGGGTGACAAAATCATCTTCTGAGTATGTTGAGATGTCGAGGGATCATGCTTCATGCACTGGATGGTGTATTGGTGTCGTCTACCTAAGACAGTCTGTGAGCTGGCCTCAGTGCACCAGAGCAAAGCTGGCGAGGAACTTAAGCCAAAGTTGTGGTTGTGTGGTTTTTCTCCTTCAGTGGCTTCTTTGACTGTGTATGAAGTGGGTGGGACTCTGGTCAGGTTCTGAGGTCTGGCTGTATGTGTGACATGCACTGTGGGTCTTACTGCATAGGTGTAAGAAAAGTTGATACTGTATTCTGTTCACCTCACTGATCTGCATTTTAACTCCAAGTTATTCTTATAAATCACAGTCTCTTGGATTTTGGTTCTTAATTTTTTCCTTCCTTCTTTCCTAGAAAGAGTTCCACAGCTTGAAAATGAAGTGGTTTATGTGATTAGTCTTATTATCCATGTGATTAATTTCTTTTCCTCCTGATGAAAGTATATTTTTCCCCACCTAGGTATTCATTAGAGGGACAGCCTGGTATATGATTGAGGATCAAGCAGCCTGGGTTATTTAAATTAAGTAAGGCTCTGTTTATAATACAGATTTTGCTGGGGTCTTGGAGGACTAGAGATAATACACATGAAATTCAGGGCCTGGCACACGAAGAAAGTACGCATAGTAGTGAAAGAGATTTAAGATTATCATTGTCATTTTCTCTTTCCCTGTTAAACTTGATCCATCAAGAAGTTTTCAGGAGCTAGATCTTTAAAGCATGTCACCTTACAGTCACCCCTGATTCCTATGCAGACTGTCCGTTGAAGTGTTCTCACCAGTTATAGCCTCCCCTCTGGTATACTTGTCTGCCTCTCCACATTGCCTTCCCAGTGGAAGGGACTCTACAGAGGACAGCTGTTTGGTTATCTGTTGCATCAGACCTCTTTGGACCCCCCTTCCAAAAAGTGGCCTAGACCCTGCCCAGAAAAGCTCCTATGTCGATCTTGGTTTTGGAGGAAGACAGGAAGAGAGGTAACTTTTGCTCCCTGTCCTTTCTCACTCTGTAACTTGCTCTGGAATCTCATCTGCACTCATGACTTCAGTGTTGTCTTATATTCGTATGATTTCCAAACTCTGGCCAGAATTATTTTCTGAGTCCCATGCCTGTGTTTCCAGCTACCTTCTAGACATCTCCACCTGGACACCCAACAGGCCACCCAAAGACACAGCTAAAGCAGAAGCCCATTTATTTTTCTACTCCAGCCTAAGCCCTACTTCTTCTCCTGTTTCTCCATTTTGTCCTATGTCACCTGGGTCCTTTCAGTATCAGAGATCTTGGAGTTTTAGACTTGCCACTTCTCTGTCCACACATCTAGTTGGCTTCTGAACATTGGTCCCCTCCAACAGCTCTGTAAGAGTCGGCAGTCTGTGCTTCCTTGCTTTCCAGCAACACACTTTTATTACTTCTATCACAGCAGCTTCCTCACTGGGCATCTTCCCTATACTGTTTTTCTCTTCTTGCAGTTCATCTTCTGTAAGAGTGAACTTTCTAGAAGGCAGTCTAACAGTGTCAGTTTCCTCCTCAAATCTCTTCTGATGAATTGTCTCTTGGTTAAAAAGGAAAAGTACCTCCAGCTTTTTCCTGAGTGGGTCCTGACTTTCTCTCTGGCCTCATCTCTCCTTAACCTTTCACTCTCACTACTTAGAGCTTTTTCAAGATACCATGTTCCTTCTAGAGTCTTGGCGTCTTCTCTTTGTATGTAAACATCTTTCTGCAAATGTGACCTTCCGTCCAAGCTTTACTTATTCTTAAAGCCCAGCAAACATGACCTCCATCAGAAAGCCTTTCCTGCCCTCCCCACGTTGATTGAAGACTTCTTCCACTGTTCTTCTCAAGGCCTCATTGGCACCTCTTTTCAAACAGAGTATGATAAGCTTTTGACTTTTTAAAAAAACTGGCCTGCCTCCCTTACCAAATTCTGAACCTCTGAAAGCCAGGGATGCCCTTGATCCATCATCAGTGTGGTGGCTTATCTGTAGTCTCAGTGGCTAGCACAAAGATGTTCAATAAATATTTGCTGACTTGATACATTGGGCATAGCTAAGATTTTTACAGAAGCTATTCTCTGGGTTTCTATCCTCCTTTCCTCCTGGATAATCCAGAATTATTTTCATGAAAGAAAAGGAGAGAGAGAGTGCAGGTGTGGGTTACTGGTTCCTATTAAGAGGTGGGGCTTCCTGCTCAGGGTGGAGGTATTGAGACCCCTTTCTTCAGGCCACTGAAGGAGAGCTAAGATGCCTCCCCAACTGGGCAGTCACCTGTGGCTCCTCTGCTGAGGAAGCACTAGCTCTAGATGTTGGTTCATGTGTCTTCAGACTCTTTTATGCCAAGCCGAGGCTGCCTCCACCCCATATATAAGAAAACAAGAGGTATGGAATCTGTGGTTCATGTGGCTCTGCACTGGCTGTGCAGATGTTATAGTTTGAATGTTGCCCTGAGAGCCGAAGGCCTTGTTTTCTCACCTGTGTTGCTTAATGTTTTTCTGCTCTCCTCAGTAAGTTGTTGAACCATGTTGGGATTCTTCCTGCACATAGTGTACTTTTTTTGCTGACTTTGTCTGTGTTCTAACAATGCCAACATGCGCATGGGAAGGCTATCTCCATGTTGCTCTAGCAGCTAATGGCCCAAGTTTTAGAAGAGTGCAGTGTGGTAGGTGAGGAGTATTGAGGGAAGTTCCATTATTGTCAGAAGCAGGAGAAACTTTTCCAGCTAGAATCATTTGGCAGACACTGGTGGAGAATGAAGGCAGAGCTGGGCCACCTTGGAGACTAGGGGGTTAAGCCAACCGGAGGTAATTAGAGGGCCAGACCTGCAGAGGAGAGCATACATGAATCCCTGTATTCCAAAGCCAAATGGGTAATACCTGGGTTTTGTTTGTTTTTGTTTTTTAGTTTCTCAGAATAATGCCACTGAATGTATCTGAACCCATCAGCACCAATCAAGCCTATGCTTGTAAAAGCCCAGATACTTTCTGTATTTTAACTCATTAACCCATGAAATGCTAAGTAAAAGGCATGTTGAGATTAAGTGGCTTGATTCTGTTCTATTAATAAGTTGCTGCAGGGCTTGGAGCAGAGCTGTGTCTGGCCGGATATGGGCAGGCTGGAATTGCTGCTGCTCCGGCAGGTTTACCAGGGTCCAGGAGTTCTGAGTAGTTGGTGAGCATGACTCTTGCTGCGTTGCCATCAGCAAACAGTGGCTGGGAACATCAGGAGAGGCCTTTTTGTCCATGCTGACTTACAGGACCAGCGTGAAGCCTGCATCAAACAGGGTGCTGGCCCAGCAGCAAGCCTTGGGGTGTCTTCTCACCCTTGGGATGCAGAGCTGGCTCACTCTCCTTCTGAAGTTGCAAATTCACTCTTCAGCTGTTAGTGACAAGTTTCACCATAAACCGTTCTGACTACAAAAGTTGTTTCCTTCCGTTGGGCCCAGAAGGAGGCTCAAGACAGGGAAGTTACCTTCACAAAACACTTCATCAGCTCCTATCTCTGGCCTGAAATGACTGGTCCTGTGGGCTTTGGAAGTTGGGCAGGACAAGGAATGACTTGTGGCTGCATCTTTGTGATAGAATAGAGGCAGCTTAGATTCTCTTTAGGGCCCAAACCTCCTCCTAGAACAGCCTAGATTTTCTGTTTTATTTTAAATGGAGATGGAACCAAACTTTCTGGCAAATAGCCAAGTATGGCCGCTGCTTCTGCCCCTTTGCCCACAATGTTTGCAAAAGCATCACACATGGCTTGTCAATAAAAAATTAGGAAGCCCAGTACAGCTCCACTCAGACTACACACTGGCCACTCTCCCATGACATTTCATGCAGGATTGAGTGTAAACATGTGGCTGGGAGGAAAAGCTCTCGGGGGAACGTGATGCTATGTGGGGTAGGACCTCGCCTGCCAAAGGTCCCAGCTGCAGCCAGGTTCCTCTGCTGGGTCAGGCTGTCCATTGCCAGGATCCTAGATGCTGGCAGCCTGAGTGCTCCTTGAGCCAGCGCTCACTTGTAGGTCCTTCTGTTTTTCATGTCGTCTTTGGGCTGTGTGATCACATTTGTGTATTTTTCCACCCTTCTCTTCCCATCTGCCTCTTGACTCTGGGATTTCCCACTTAGAGTTCATGGACACTGGGTCCTTGCTCTGCCTGCTTCTGTCCCCTGAAATAGGGCCAGAACTGAGTGCTTGGAAACTGAGACCCCAGGTTCCCCAGGTAAGGGGTTGGTTTCCATTTAGGAGCCAGGATCATCAACAAGGGCTCATGTAGCAATGGGCCAGCAAGAACCAGTGGAGAAGCCCTGGTCACGGGCTGGCCAGTGCCTCTGTTCCCACCTAGTCACTGCACATCCTTACTTCTACTGGGGACACAGTTCCTGAATTTTAAAATGACAAAGGAGTTGCTCACCTTTCCTTATCCTTTCTCTCATAGTTCGCAGCTGCCCTCTCCCATGTAGCAGCTTTGTGGATTCTCACTGCCCGCTGATGATTCCATTTAGTGTTTGGAAGCAAAGGTGAATCATTTGTAATGTAAGATGGATCAAAATGTAACTACATAGGAAATCAACAAACTGTAATCACAGAATATAATGTAATTTCATAAAGAAGTGGCAGCACTAGTTTAGTAGGATTAACCACACTACTTCCCCCTCCACTATGGGTAAATCTTAGTACAGAGCCCACTGTGCTTTAGAATGCCTCCTGTCGGGAGAAAAAAGTCCCCTGTAGAATAGGTTTGTCAGAGCTGTTTCCTAGGATTGTTTTTTGCACTAAGACGGAAGGCATCACTTGAAGCCAATTTTCCTTTGGGCACAATTCTCCCCCAGGGTGGGGCTGGACACTGTTCCTTGGGCCCAAGAAGGCTGACAACTCAATCCTGACAACTCAGACCTTGTGTTGTCTGGGGTGGACCCAGAGCAACTGCAACTCTGCCCCACTGCCCCTGACACTCAGGTTGTTCCTGAGAGAGATTGCCTGCTGTGCTGTGGAGATAGGGGAGGGCCTAGTAGGAGGTTGTCCCAGACACTTCTCTCCATGGACCTGTTTGTCCCCAAGCAGTGCAGCACAGAAGCGGAGAGTGCTGTGCTGCTCTGCTTCCCAGCTGAGCCACACTGCTGCAGTTGCAGCCTAGCCTAGGACAGGAGCCCAGAAATGCCCAAGGGGTGGCGGTTTGACTGTGATGTGGCCATGTGTATCACAGTCAGTATTAAGTGTCCCCACTGCATAGCCAGGTACTGGGGTGTGCCAGGAGGTTGTGAATATAGGGCTTATATCTAAAGACTGTGTATGTAGCAAAAGTTAGCACTTAAATGGCAGAGTACAAACAGGCATAAAATAATATAGGACAAATGGGTGGCATGAATATATACTAAAGAAATTCCAGAACTATTTCCAAAGGAGGATGAATTTAAAGCAGTGCTTCGTCAAAGTGTGGTCCCTGGACCATCAGGACCATCATCCCCTGGAGGCTTGCTAGAAATGTAAATTCTTGGGCCCACTGCAGACCCTCTGTATAAAAAAACAGGGATGAGGCCCAGCAATCTTTTAACACACTCTCCAAGTGATTCTGATACATACTGAAGTTTGAGGACCATTGATTTAGATGGAGGGAATAACATTAAAACTTCTGTGTCAGATTGGCCACATGGATTTCTTATTAAGGGGTAGTAACAGCTAGCAGCTAATGTTTTTGAGTATTTGCTATCTAGTAGGTACTGTTTATCTCTGTTACCACCTCTTAATTCTCACAGAATCTTATGAAGGGAGTTATGTTATTTCCCTTATTTTACTAGGTCATAGCAATAGGCTGTTCCAGTCCCAGCCCTGCAGCCAGCCCAGTGACTAAGCCAATCGTTAAGCCATGCTATGCCTCAATTTCCTTTAATGGGTGATAAAGCCTGTCCTAGCATTCTCACAAGATTATTATTATGATTATATGACTAAATAACTATGAATATAGTTTGAAAAGTTATAAGTATCTTTAAAAATGATTTAAAGAAATGTGTTGTTTTTGGTAGCAGTTTCCCTTATGCATCCCTTATTAAGGAATTGCGCTGATGTCCTGGAGCAGGATTACATTGGGTTCTTAAGGTGCCATAGGATTTCTCTATATGTAGCAAAAGAGTGTTTGGAAAGGGGAAAGGTAGGTAGACCAGTAGATGGGAAATGCAGTGAAGGAGTGTGTCAGGAAAAGACAGGGAGTCAAAACCAAGCTTAGAGGAGGTCTCTTTTGGAAGGAGGTCTTTTCAGAAGTAGGGTTCCTGCAGCCCCCTTGCTAGGCCCCATGTCACTTGGGGTATGGTAGAAAAGGCTATGTTCTCTCCCCAGAGCTCTACTATGACCGTGGGAACCACCATGAGTTTGTGTCCCTGGTGAAGGACTTGGCCCGTCCCGGAGAAATCACTCAGTCGCAGGCCTTCGACTTTGAATTCACCCATGTGGAGAAGCCGTATGAGTCCTACACAGGGCAGAATGTGAAGCTACGGTGAGTTGTGCCCCCCGTTTCCCCTCCTTGCCCCCGAAGCTACCTGCTGTGAACGAGGACCTGAAGCTGTCCACATTTCTGATGATCTTTACATGGGTATCAAGAAGAAAGAGGGCTGAGAGCAGAGGTGTGCTGGTAAATGCATAACACTGCGCTCTCTGGGGTTAAAAACTCCTAGTTTGTAGCATTTGTCAATTTCTGTAGTGTAAATATTCCCACCGTGGCCAGTTTCAAGCTACCAGCCTGATGTCCCTGATGGCAGAGTTGGGAAAAGATGTACAGTCTTGCCATAGCATTACTGTCACACAGAGATATGTGATGTAAATTCCCCCCAAGAACAGAGAGAATTGTAAAATGGAGCAAAATAATCAGGAAGCACTGAGCTTTTGGTATGTATTACCTTTGTTTTTAATGTAATTCATTTAGTTGTAAGCTTATATTATTTAACTTTAATTGCTGTCTTTAACAACCAGTTCATAAAATTCCTAGAATTCAGTAGTCGGCTCTCATACTCTGTTGGGAGCCACCTCCTACACACTACTGGTGGTGTCAGGACACAGTCCTCCTTGGTCCAGCTCTGCCACACAACAGCAGTATGATCCTGAGTTCTGTTACTCCACTTTCTCACTTGAAAAGTGGGTAATAGATTTGGATTCTAATTCTCGATCTGTCCCTCTTTGGTGACCAGAGAATAAAATGTAACACAGTGTGACAAGTTCGTAAAAAATTAATAAACACAATTTAAATGCATGAGATTGTTTTTATTGTTCCAGTCTTGGAAACTCTGAGGATGGGGACTGATTCCAGGGCCTCTGGGGTAAAAAAAAAAACAAACCCACAGCAGCTACAAAGCCTTGCATGTAACCTGAGATTATGTGGTATCACTGGGATAAAGCAGACTTCCTCCTACACTCTGGACGGCTGGTTCCAGATCTTGATGCTGTCTCATCAGGTCAGCTCATTTCACCACCTGAAGGCCGGAGTATAGGATGGTGCAGACTGTAGCAAGACCCTTCTTCTCATCTTCTCCCCTGGCCTCCCTGTTCCATCAGAAGTGTGACTGTAGGCTCTTTTTCAATCTTGGCAGAGAAGGCTAAACACTGACATGACCCCCACTGAAGGTAGCATTCCATAACTGCATTCAGAGAAGGCTGCAACAGTGAGAGTCATTTAGTCACTGTGCTTGGCTGTGGGGTTAATTATATTTTTTGCAGTGGATTTCTCCCAAACATTTTTATGCCAAAAAGAAAGGTGTTGAAAACATTTTGGGGGTTCCTCAAAATAATAAAAGTAGAACTACCATATGATCCAGCAGTTTTGCTTCTGGGTATTTACCCGAAAGAAGTGAAAGCAGGGGCTCCACCAAATGTATGCACATCCACATTCACGGCAGCATATTCACAGTAGTCAAAAGGTGGGTCCAACCGGAGTGTCAGCCGACAAGTGAATGGATAAGCAAAATGTAGTGTTATTCAGCCTTGAAGGAAGTAAATCCTGTTTTATGCTACAACATGATAAACCTAGAAAGTATTATGCTAGGTAAAATGAGCCAGTCCGTAAAAAGACAAATACTGTATAATTCCACTTATATGAGGCACTTAAGAGTAGTCAAATTCATAGGAACAGAAAGTAGAAAGGTGGTTGCCTGGGGCTGCTGAGAGGGGACATAGGGAGTTAGTGTTTAGTAGGTATAAAGTTTTGGTTGGGGAATTTGAAAAAGTTATGGAGATGACGGTGGTGATGGTTGCACAACAGTATGAAAGTACTTAATGCCTCTGAGCTGTACCCTTAAAAACAGTCAGAATGGTAAATTTTATGTTACATATATTGTATGGGAAGAAAAAACCTTTTTCCTTTACCCACCTTAGGTTCTTTGGCTGGGGCCCTTCATATTAGACTGACAAAAGACATTAGCAAGAGAAAAAAAGGGTTGGTTGGCATGTGTATTGCACATGCACAAGGAACTCAGTGATTGGTAACTCAAAGGGGTAGTTACAACTTGGGCTTTGTAAGCATCTTAACAGAAGAACAGTAATATTACAGAGAAGTGACAAAAAATAAAAAGGACTTTGAACTTCTAGGGTCAACAGATTCTGGGAAGGCAATTATATGGAGGAAAGAAAGGGAAGATAAGGGTTGTTTAAACAAGGTGCAGTCTCTGGGCTGGTGAGACTCCAGAGTTGTCTCTCGTGTTTGAGAATGTCCAGCCCTTCCTGGTACATAGGGGAGGTCAGAAAGTTCCTCTTCTGTTCCTTCTCAGTTGCTTTCAACTCACTGTAATGTTTATGCAGTGTGGCATACATTCACTGAACCCCTTCTATATTTTGCCACAATAAAAAAATGAAAGAAAGGTGTTGCTGTTCAAATTAGATAAAAACTTTAGGATTCATGATGAGAGAGGAGGTATAGAAGGGAATTAGTTAAGGGCAGTGTAATGGAACATGCAAATTCCAGATTTAAGGGCTTGTGTCTTAGTACATAGGCAGAGGGAAAACATGGAAAGATTTTTTTGGACTTTTTCCTTTGTTTTTTAGCAGAGGAGTGGTTCCTTGGAAAGACTGACTTAAAGTCAGTTTGTCATATTTGATGGATAGGTAGAGTGTGGAGATAACTGTTTGAAGGCTAGTGTGAGGTGCTATGAGTTTCACTTCAGTGGACCTGAGGAACAGGTAGAACATGGGGAATTTAGTAGACATGGAGCGAACTGACTGAGGAGTGCATATGCAGACAGAGGCCATCAGGAGGAAGAGGTGATTCATCCAATTTCAAACTTTGAAGCACTGGTAGCATAGAGAGGAGTAGAAGCTTATCAAACAATTAGAAAATCAAGCCTGGCACTTCGGACAGAGAGGTCACTGGTGGGAATCATCTGCTCAGAGGTAATAACTGGTTCGTTCTTCAGGGTGAGCTCTGGGAGAGAAGAATCCAGGACCTGCTGCTGGGAGATAGGCAGCTGGGGGAGGTGAGCTGGCAGTGCCTCCTGGGGAGCCACGGGAAGATCATCTCAAGCAGGAGGAAGGAGAATGAAAACGAATGTAGAACTGATGCCCCAAAAAGGCCACAGTGTTTGGCACCTGGCAGGCCATGTGTTACCTTCATGAGGACAGTTTCGGTTGGGTATGGAGACAAAAGCAAGGAATAAGGAGGAGGGACTGAGAAGAAGCTTCAGTGGTTGGAATAGGACCCCTCTGTGACAGCTGTGTCCAAAGAAAGGTCAAGAGTATAAGGCTGAAGAGTGTTTGGGGGATTGATGAGTTCTGGACTTTTTATAAACTCAAAGGAAAAAGCCTTTATCTGGAGAGACATTGGATACATTGAGAAAATTGGAAAAGTTAGAAGGTTCAAGGTGCTGGAAAAAAGTTTTCTACCAAGGCTTCCACAGTAGAATCACTTGGAGGCTTTTAAAACGGTTGATGGCTCCCTCTGTCCCTCTCCAGAGCTGTTAAATGTCAGATATGTCTGAGCATCAAGATTTTTAAAGTCCCTCCCACCCAGGGTGATTCTAACTTGTGTTCAGGTTGAGAGTCCTTCTGCCAGACAGAGGAGGAGAAGATGGGTAGACATAGACACGTTGAGGCCCTAACTAAAAAGTAAAAAACAGCACAGAAAAGCAGAGAAGGGGAGAAGTGTATTTCATCTTCTTAGTACATCAAAGCCACACCTTCAGTATGGGTGGGGGCTTGCGAGCCTGAGCAATTGGCAGAGGGTCAGGAACAAATATCCTGGGTAATGTGACCTAAGTTACTGAAATGTATAAAAGGGTTGCGAGAAGCAGTGGGGATTCTCTAAGTTTTATTTAGAAGAAAATTAAAGGGTGTTTCTTCTCTCAGGTGTTAGGATAGAGTTGAGTTAGGGAACAGGGATGCTGTAAAGGTCATGATAAAGTAGCTGGTTGTAGAGGGCAGGCTTGGTATTCTAACCCCTTCAGGGGCTGTGTCTGTGTCTTTCTAACTTGTCCTCTACCCCAGCAACCCCTCCCCACAGATCCTAGGTTCAGCCAGAGACTTTCTTTATTCAAAACAGTATCTTTTCTACTGCAATTGCTTTACTTACACAGTTTGTTCTTCCTGAATGCCCTTTTCTCCCTCCCACTTGATTTCTGTATCTGAATTAGCACTTTCTGTGTGTACTAGTGTTTCTGTTTATTTGCCCATCTCCCCTGGTGGACTGTGAGCTTCCCATGAGACCATGTCTTATTCATCCTGTGCCTACCAATAAATGCTTACAAATGAATAACTGATTTAATTTTTCCATTCCCTTTTCTTCTAACAGTGAGGGACTTGAAAGATACTTATTGATTGAATATTGTTAAATAAAAGGGCATGCAAATGTAAGAGCATAAGACAGATCCCTGTGCCCAAAGAGCCAGGAGTTAGTTGAAGAAATAAAACCTGCACACAAATCAAATGCACAGTAGATAACAGTGAAAGGCATGAAAGGTCTACGAATGACATGCAGTTGGAGTCTGGAGCAGAGAATCACTTTTACTTAGAGCAGTGGTCTTAACCTAGAGTGTGGGCTCGCAAGGGTGTGGGGAGGGTTTCTGAACTTGAAATTTTGCATATAAGTGCACATGGTCATTTTTTCTGGGAGGACGGTCACATTCTTAAAGGAGTAAGAAGCCCTAAAGGTTAACGGCTGTGGAAGGGGTTCTCTCAAGTATGTCTGTTCAGTGCATAAACCTTGGTCGCATCTGGAAATTGGGAGTGTTCCTTCACAGCACGTCCTCCTCCTATAGGTACTTCCTGCGAGCCACCATCAGCCGCCGCCTCAATGATGTTGTCAAAGAGATGGACATCGTCGTCCACACGCTCAGCACATACCCAGAGCTGAACTCCTCCATCAAGATGGAGGTTGGGATCGAGGACTGCCTGCACATCGAATTTGAGTACAATAAATCCAAGTAAGTGTGGGGCTCCAAGGCGGTGGAAGGACTACTTAGGGAGGTTAAGACAGGACTTGCTCGGGCTGCAAGCTGACAGTGTCCCTTGCCTTGGCTGCTTCCAGGTGGCAGCAATGCCATGGGGCAGTCACAGCAATAACGCAGTGGACATACGAGCCAGGCTGGCGAAGGACCAACTGACCAGAAAATAAAACTTCATTTTACTTAAATTTATTAAACATCCTATGGTGCCTTTCAAAGTCAAGCTAAAATAACTTAAAAGTTAGTTATTGGATTCTAGATACAGCTATTTCCTTCTGTGTGAGATTATTCTCAGAATACCATTCCATTATTATTTGTATTCCATATACATTATGTCTTTAGAAATCAAAGCAAGGAAACCAGACACCAGCCATAGTTTGCTGTGTCCTCCCTGAAATAAAATGAATTGTACCAAAGGATGCCTGGTGGCCTTTTTATAAAGGTCTATAAATACTTTTATTTTAACTGGCAAGTTGAGAAGTGCATTTTAAACTGTGTTTACTGTTAGAACATCAGAATTTTTAAGTGCTTGTAAATCACAAAGCCTACAGTTCAAAAATGTATCTTCTCAAAATAACAGCCCTGAAAATGTTTGAAAAATCAAGTATGCAAAAGTAAAAGTGTATTCTATTCACAGAGGGCTAAAAAAAAGAAATCACAGAGTCTCTAACTAGGGTCTCACTGGGCAGAGACCCTCACCTTAGACCCACCATCATCGAGGGAGGGTAGTTGGAGCTGAGCCAGCTGGCTCTTCTGTGAAGGGTTGGCAACAGGGTTTTTTAAACTAGGGACATGTGTCTTCCTAGAACCGGGGTGCAGGGAAGGTGTGTTTTTTTCTCCCTGCCCCCTGGCCTGGAACCAAGTGTACCCAGAAGAGCCCTGCTTTGGCGGTGGTCCCACCCTTGAGTTGGGGGGGAAGTTATCTGGGCCTGGCAGGGACATGTAAGGGAACAGGCTCCTCCCCGTTTTCTCTCATAGTCTTCGGGCTCTGTTGGCCTTCCAGGAAAAGAGCCTGCATACCAAAGTCCCAGCCACCTGGTAAAAGGGGTGTCTTGCAGGCATTGCCACCTTGTGAATAGCCATCAGTCAGCAATGTGCTCGAGACCACATTAAGTTGTGAAAGTGCTTCCGAGAGTCAGTTGCATAACATCCAAGATGGGATACTCCCACATGTGGGCCTGCCCTCCCAGAGTAGGCTGTGCTGTGTGAGAGGGCTTGGTCTAAGTGATGGAACAGAAAGAGCCTGTGCTTGGAATCAGGTCCTCTTCTGCCCCTGAGGAGTTGGGCTGAAGTTAACAGCTACTAACATCTTTGTACCTTGGGTTTCTCATCTGAAAAGTGAGGGGCATGGATCAAGTTAGTGGGCTTCAAGCACACATATGGGAAGGTGAAGTAGAAAACGAACAGGTCCCTAGGCCCTCCACAGCAGCAGCTCCTTTGTGTTTCATGTGCAGTAATGCTTCTGCATAAGATTTCATTTAGAATAAGGGAATGGTCAGTTTGTAAAGTTTGAAAACCCCTAGAATCTATGGTCTCTAAGCATTACCTCTAAAATGCTGTGAGTGGCCTACATTCTGATTTTTAAGGGTTCTTAGGTTATCTACATAGAGTGTCCAGTCAGCTCAATCAGATCGTAAGCAGGAAGGAAGGAGGCCTGAAACAGTAGGGTGAACAGAAGCCTGAAAACCTGGAGCCTGTGTCTGTCCCTACCCAAATCCTGCTCAAGTTGCTTATCTTCCAACTTTAGTTTTTTTCATCTGTAGTATAAGGAGATTAAATTCTAAATTGAAAAATCTAAATTGAAAAATTTGCGCATGTGCTGTGATTCTGAGCTTCCAGGTGGACGATTTTGCCCTCTGCAGCAGTGCCTGGTACAGGACTGTGCACATGCAGACCACCAGTACTGCTGGCTGATCCACAGAGAGGAGCAGGGGGG